GAAGGGGTGGAGAGAGGATGGACCTGGGGAGTGTGGAGACACGAGGCCCACTCCAGGATTTTCACTGGGAGGAAGGAGCAGTTAGCAAGGAGCCAGAGGAGGCTCCTGACACTAACCGCAGCAACAGCAGCCGGGAACAGACCTCCAGCACTGGAGGTGAGCGGGAAGCAACCCTGGCAGCCTGTGAAGGCACCAGCAACAGGGAAAACAGTGAAGGGCGTGCAAGGATTATCACCACAGCAGGTGGGAGTATTGAGGGCCATGGGGAGGAGGAGGAGCTGTACCCGGCGAGAGAGCCCCTGCAGAAGCAGACAGAAGGACCACAGGGAATCAAGGCACTGACCCTGAGAGTGGGAGAGAACCAGCCGCTTATTAGGGAAGGGCGAGGCACCCGGATAGGGATGCTCCGGAAGGGAGAGGAGCGAGGCAGCTCAGGGCTTATAGAGGCAGGAGAAGGAGGGAAAGGGAGGACCCAAGCAGGAGTCAGCTCCCAGCCAGACGGTAGAGGACTCGGCACCCAGGGTCTCAGACACCAGAGACCTGGGAAGGGAGTCGTTTTGTGGGTTTTTTTGTGTTTCTTTTGAGTATCCCCGTGCAAAGGGGTTGAGGGGCGGGAAGGGTGCACAGGAATAAAAGAGATGTGATGAAGTCCATAGGGCGGCACGTGGGATTAAGGCCTCGGGGAAAAGCTTCCCCTAGACGAGTACAGACGCCACGAGCAAGACCTGTGGACGTACATAACCTAGGATGGAATAAGCGAATTGGTCTTGGAAGCTGGTATCTGGGGTAGGAGAGAAATTGAGAGGCTCCACGGTAGTGGAAGAAGAGGTACATGGTCACAAAGACGGGAGAACCCATCGAGGTGGCATGAGGACGGGATATAGTGACCACCAGGCCGACCACGCCATAGAAAATTCCCAGGTAGTCATTCCCCCCCACTGGGAAACATTCAAGTCGTGGCAGGCGAGATCGAGGAAGGATTCCCGTGGAGGGAACATCAACTTGGCATTTTGCGGAAGGCTGCATGGCGTACATCCCTCGGTGCGTGAGCCAAGGCAGCACGTGACCGATTCCTTGAGACCCGGCGGTCACAGCCCCCTTAAGAAGGGGAGGTACGACCATCCCTCGTGGACTCCCATCTCCTCTACCTTCTGGGTCCTCAGTGCCTCCCCCACTAGTCTCCTAAGCTCATTGAAGTTGGCCCTTCTGAAGTCAAGGGCTTTAGCTTTGGTGTAAGCCCTTGACACCCTGCGTTGGATAATGAAATCCAGCAGGTGATGGTTGCTATTGCCCAGTTGGTCAAGGACCTGCAGTCCCCTCAACAGGTCATCCCCCATGGCCAGGACCAGGGCCAGCAAGGTGTTACCCCTAGTGGGGCTATGCACTTCCTGGATAAGGTGAAGGTCCTGTAATACAGCCAGGAACCTACGCGAGCGGTCAGACCTGGCTTTCTGCTCCTCCCAGCAAATGTCTGGGTAGTTTAGGTCACCCATGACAATAACATTCCTTGACCTAACCGTCTCCATAAGCTGACTGGAGAAGTCCTGGTCGAGCTCTTCCCTGTGGTCGGGTGGTCTGTAGTAGACACCCACCGTAAGGTCCCTTTCACCACGCCCCCGTTGTAGTTTGACCCAAAGTGTCTCTGCCTGACCCTCCTCTAACCCGAAGCTAATTCTTGATGAAGTGAGGTGCTCTTTGACATAGAGCGCTACCCCCCCCCACCTTTCCTCTCTGTCTTGTCTCTTCTATATAGGGTGTATTCCCGAATGCCCGCTGCCCGGTCATAGGTAGGGTCCCACCAGGTTTCTGTGAGCCCTACTAAGTCTGGGTTCTTACTCACAATCAGGAGGCACAGTTCCTCCTGCTTACTCCCCGTACTACGAGCATTAGTGTAGAGGCACCTGAGGCCTCCTGCGGGTGCCCGTGCCTCCCTCCCACTCCCAGGACAGTTGTGGCCCCCTACTCCCAGGACTCCTGAGGGTGCACGTGCCTCCCTCCCACTCCCAGGACAGTTGTGACCCCCTACTCCCAGGATGTTGATGCTTATCTGGGCTTCCCTTCCTCTTGTCACCCTGCATGCTGGTGAAGCATCCTCTCCACTCGAAGCAGCCCCTTCCCCCGGTGAGGCTAGTTTAAAGCCCACTGTACGAGATCATCCAACCTAGAGGAAAAGATGCGTCTGCCCTTAGGGGAGAGGTGAAGCCCATCCCACCCCAGCATGCCCTCCTTACAAAAACATGGGTCATTGTCAAAAAACCTGAAGCCTGCCTCGTGGCACCAGCTCTGAAGCCCCTAGTTAGCCACATCAGTGCAGGCCTCATGAGGTGGGAGAGGGGAGAGGGGAATCCCTGTTTGAGCAGGGATGGGTGGGGAGGCAGGGGTGGAGCAAGGGGAAGCCAGGCAGATGCTGCTGGGCCTGCAGTCTCTGCTGGAGCTCCAGCTAGAAAGCAGAGGGGCTGGGCCAGCCTGTTCTCTGGAGCAGAGAGCCCCACCCAGGGCTGCAAAGCATCTGGGTTGCTGGGGGAGTCTGGTTTAACTTAAACCAGGAAGGGGTCTGGGACAGACATTGCATAAACTGGTTGGACCCAAATCAGTTAAGTCTGATAGTACTTTCAGCCAGGTTTATTACAAACCGGTTTCAGCCATTTTCAAAGTGGTTTCTGTGCACTGAATGTCTGTTCTGTTACAGGTTTAAATCAGTTTCTGATTACTTAAACTGGTTTATGTGTAGTCTCTGACCCTAGGCTGTCTGGACGAGCACATTGTATGGCCTTCACAGATGCCCAGGGAGAAGACTTTGGTTTGGTTGCTGCCTGAAAGTGGTTTTGGGTCAAGGATAAGGAAACTCTCCTGTTTTTTAGTCTTTCTTGGCCTCAGGGAAAAAAAATGATTTAGTTCATTTTTAACAAACAGGATCAAACTAACAGGATTGCCTCCATCATCATTTGTTCTCCTAACTGGAACAACCTAAAAACCCCCAAATTTGGGGTCTGAAAGGGTAACCATACACTATATGCTGCACACATAATAATACATTTTAATTCCTACTCAAAGTGCACAACTCAGCTGAGTCTTAACCAGATATCCTCAATGGCAACTTCATAAGATAAAAAAATACACACAGTTTCCCCAAATAATTTCACAACAGTTTCAGTTGAAAATCTTACATTGAATGTGATTGGCAATCATGACAAATTTACTAACAGAAATCTTTGAAGTATAATAAGTGTGTTCATGTGGAAATTAACTGAACAATCCACCATGGGTTGGTATTAATTTAAAATAATAATAGAATTGAGAACAAAATTTCCTTGTGAAATTCCAAATAAAACTAGTCTTAAAATTAATAACACCAGCAGACTATTATACTACTTTTGCATGTTAAGTATCGGACTTTTGGCAAAGAGGAGTATAAGAAAACGAGCAATTCTTACTTTTTAAGAGAAATCAGGCTCAAAGTTGAAGGCAGAAACAGGTAAAACTTCTCTTTTCTAGTAGCCTCCACAATCTGCCTGCCAATATATCTTGGATCCATAATAGGTGTTAAACATGGCCTTCTGAAATATTCAGGTTATACAGCTGTCAGAATTTATTAGTTTGGGGATTTTTTATTTTAGCAAAAACTGTGCATTTATATTAATCTGTTTAAATACTTTATACATTTCTTCAATGTATTTGCATTGATTAAGACAAAACAGAAACAAAAACAAACAAAACTAACCCAAAACAGGCATTATTTAAAAAAAAAAAAATTATCCATATCAAAACATTCTAAGATTTATACTGAGGAGAAAATGCCTGGCTAAAATTAGTTCTTGTAATGTTTGAGCTGAGTAGTGCTTACCTGATCAAAAAAATATGAAATGCTCCCCCAGAGCTCCTGTTGGAATTATATTACCATATTTACCTGAAACCAAGACAACCCAGAATTGAAGACAACACCCCAATAATTAGATCCTATACATGAAAAATGTATAAACTTATTATTTTCCATGTACAGAATCTAATTGGAAGACTGTCTTAACCTCATCCCCACAGCCATTGTGGGGAAAGAACTGGCAGGGAGGCAGGCAGTGGCAGTCAGATGGTGGTTTTAGGCAGAAAGGGGGAGATGCCAGGGGGTAAGTGCTAGGGTTAGGGGCAGGGAATGCAAAAAGAGGGCAGGTGGTATGGGGAGCAGTAGGGGACAGGCAGCAGTGGGCAGGCAGTATGGAGGAAATGGGAGAGCAGGAGCTGTGGGTGGCAGAGGGGGCAGGTAATGGGGTGGGACAGACAGCTTGCTCCCTGCCACATGCCTCCCTGAACCTGTCTTGTGCTTGCCCCCCCATACCAGATTCTTCCCCCCTCTGCCCTCTCTGCAGCCTCTGTTCCCCCACTCCCCCCCCATCTCTTTTGGGCCAGGACCTTACTCCATGCCTCAGGTGGAGCAGGGATGGAGCCTGCTGGTGCCAGGACAAGTGTAAGGTGTGGGGAGGAGGTGAGGGAAAGCAGGGGGAGCAGAGGCTGCAAGAGGGTTACAGGGGGTGCAGGGGCAGATGGGCAGGGTGGGAGTTGAGGCTGAGAGGGGAGAAAGACGGTGGAGAGGTGGCAGGTGGGATGCCAGGCAGCAGCTGTGGCTCAAGCTCCAACCCAAGAGCTGATGCCAGAGCTGGAGCTGGAGCCACAGCAATTGTGCTTCCCACCCCCTCCCCGATGCCTCATGCTTGATTCCGAAGTGAGGGGCTTTTTTTCTGCTTGGGTGGAAAAAACCTTATCTTGGAATCAAGTAAGCAAGCCATGGTCTTTTTGACTGTTCTTGCAAGAACAATCAAAGACTCAAGAATCTGGCCATGCCAGCATCAGAACTGCAGTGGTGCAGGATGTCGTGGTGGGTGACAATGGTTAGTCTGGCTTAGAGGCACTTTTGGAGAGCATTTATGATACTTGATTGCGTGCACTTATGAGCCATAAAATCGTGGGTGTACGCAAATAGGTTTCACACAAAATGCAGTCATCTTTACTCACATGACTTTAATCCCAGCACTTAACTGAGTTTTTGTAACACTAAGAAAGACAACGGTGGTTTTAACACCTTTATTCCCTGTAGCCTGCAATTCAAAAGCAATTGTCTCCAGAAGGCCAACTATTGCAAACTTGCTTGCAGCATAGTCTGTTAAGTGAGGAACGAAGGAACATTTAAAAACATATCCATCACCGCATACCAAGTGTTGTTTACCAAATGTAATGTGAAGGACTGTGCTACCTTTCAGCTATTTGGGGATGAATTTCAAGAGGGTCTAGCAGTGTATTCTTTACTAATGCTGGTCAGCATTTACAGAAGTGAATTCAATAGGAAGTAGGAGGAAGTGCTCATCAACATAAAGGTCAAACCTGAATTTCTTCTCTTTCCTCCCTACCCCTTGTCATGGATGCACAGGCAAAAACAAATGTAAGTAGGTGGGGTGGGAGATTGTGTGGATGTTCTGGGGGCAGTGACCATTACGGGGTGGCTGGAGAGACAGGTCTCTAGGAGGAAAGGGGGAATGGAGATCCCTGCTTGAGTTTTTACAGAGAAGAGGTTGACCCCACCTATTTTTCTGAGGTTCAGGTAGTAGTCTGAAAGTAGGGTGAGGATTTTGTCAGCTTTGTTTTACCATACTCTGTTGTCAAGGCATTTAGTCACTTTTTCTTTTTTATAAAAGTTCTTCTTCCTTGGAATAAACCTTTTCTGTTATTTTACCAAAGTGTAAATTGGGATTCCTGGACAAATGAATAACCTGGGAATACCCATTCAGCGGGGTGGGGACCCATAAGCTTACACAAACCAAGGGTGCATCTCAAGGAGGACCCTGACACCTCAGGGTTTTGTCACACCCATCTCTCAAGTTATGCTCTTCCATCAGCTGACAACTCCAATGTCCCTCTTATTGCCCAGCTTATATCACCATCAGAACTGCCCTTTCCTCACTTGTCTCTCCAGCTTTAAATTAATAATTTTTAATTAATTAATTAATATTTAATTAATATTTTTTCACTAAATCATGAAAAACAGTCTCTTACTGACCAGTGTCACTGCTAAATGCTTGTCTCCATCATCTTGAACACTTCCCATTGATTAGCCTGATCTCCCCTCCACCTGGAATTTTCCCCAGTGAAGTTTATCCAACAAGCACTGCTAGAGTCGCTTTGCCATCCCTCCTTAGCAACCATACTGCATTCTCTCCTTGAATCCCTATTCTGTTTGCCTCTTTTACTGCATTCTATTCAACCTCTTTGTCCTCTTCCCCAAGGATCTATGTAACACTGCCTCACACAAAGTCTCTTCTCCCATTTCTTCATGCTTCCTTTACATTATGTGTTTTACAGTCTTCATCCTGCACTTCCTCCTCTCCATAATCATTCCAGCTTGTCCACAAATCTAAGACATTCATCCTTCACTCTCCGTAAAAATCCTTCTTTCTAGAGATTCTTCCTGTCCTGTTCTTATCAATAATCTTTCCCTATTCTTTTTTTCTCATAGACTAGAAGGGCTAGGAGGGAAGCCTTGGACCTAACTGCCCTACCTCTAATGCTTTATTCTTTTTTTTTTTAAATAGTGACTAACCATATAGGAACCCCATGACCTCTTAGCCTGACAGCTGCCTCTTCCTTACACCATCTAGAAACAGAATTCAGAAACCTGAGCAAAATTCGGGAGAGTCCCAGGCTCCCTATCCATCCTATTGTGTTTCAGTTTACAATGAGATCTGGGTGCCAGGACACCCTGGTCTTTAAACCCTGGGTTCTCAACCTTTGTATATTCCAGGTACCTCACAACTTTTACAAGTTGATTGGCACCCCATTTAAAAAAAACGAATGGTACAAGTTGATTGGCACCCCATTTAAAAAAAATGAATGTATTACAATGCTTATCTCTTTGCTGGGTGGCTGGGCAGCAGGGACAGGGGAGAAGCCAAGCACAGCAGAGCCTGTGTTTATTTTCTCACACCCTCTTATTTCCTGTGCTTATCCCTTCAAAGGATCCTAGTTGAGAATCACTGATTTAATAAAAAAAAAAAATCTCTTTTTCAACACACTTTTTAATGCACCTGCATTAACGCCACCAATTACTTTTTATCTCTCTACTCTAGCTCATCACATCCTCTGTTTTCATGCTTCTAATCTTAATGCTACTCTTTTTCATCCTCACCATGCACCTGGTGCTTGGGTTATGCTTCTATTCACCCTCTGCATCTGTCCACTTTTTTATGTAATCTCTTACCTCCCTGACTCTCTTCACCTCTGCTTCATTCTCCCCAAACAAAAAAAGAGAAGTTCCTTTACCTCATAAAACAATAATATACTAGTAATATATTTTCTACTTGAGTACAGGCCTTGAGGGAACACAAGTATTAAAGTATTGAATAAATATATGAAGTAGAATATATTAATAATTGAAATAGCAGTCATGTAGGGGATTCTTGAAATCAATTAAACATATTGGGTTTGTTTATGCTTATGTTGGTTCACTGCGGCACTCATTCTCTCTGCTCATAATCTTTAAACATATTAAATGGGGTCTAAATGAGCTTACTAATATTTGTATTACAGACAAGACAGTTGTACTTAGGAAAGTTTGAGATTTCAAAAGTGAAATGATTAAGCAGTTTATATTTTAACTCCATTTATGAATAGACACAAAGCAGTAACCTGACATTCTACTGACACCAGCAAGTCCCGCTCCACTTGAAATGCTAACCAAGTGCCCGTGGTTACATGCAATCATGGCTGGAAGGAAGTCTTTGCAAGTCTATGAAGCACAGCATATATGACCATAATAGATAGACATATAAGAAAGCATGTAATTCAACAATTGGTTTTATGGTTGATTTTTCCTCCAAAATCCACATCTTTGACTTATGATTCACCAACAATGACTTTTAAGGTATGTGAGCATTTGGGAATAAAAAATCAACCTTAGCCTAGAAACACCAGGGCTCTTTGAAGAGATTTTTTTTTTTAAGTACAGGAAGTACTCTTATCTCTTCCATTTACAGATGCTCACTGGTATAATTTTTGTAGTTTCATTAATGCATTTTTGTATTTTTTTCATATTTATTGATTGACTGAGTTATTGATTTATATGCCAAAGGCTCAGGGTGGATTACAATAAGAAAATAAGATAACTTAAAAACAGGAGAGTGATGAGGGGACCAAAACAACTTAAAAAGAACTAGAAAAGCAAATTCCCAAATTATATCTCCTAGTTTTTTTTTGCCAACACTGAAACAATTTACTTAGGGAACTGCATGCAACTTACCAGATAGATCATGGCTGTTCAACTGGGAGCCCAACAGCCACATGTGGCCCCAAAGGGATTAAATTGTGGCCCCAGGGCTCCCAGCCAACTGCTGCTCCTCCCATTTTGATTCCAGAAATGCAGCTGCATGCCTGCAGTGGCTCAGAGCAGAAGTTGCAGTGTGCTAGAGTGAGCCCTCCCTTTCCTTCTTCAGTGGCTGGAAGGCTGGGGGAAAGCTGGGCTGATGGGAGAGGGGTGGGAACCAGGCCCCAGCATGCCACTGAGTATGATCGGGGAGGGGTTTAAACCCCCACCCTGGCATGCAGGGACCCCAGCCAGGGTGTGCTTGGAGGGGGAGGGGGGAAGCATCCCTTGCCAGGCTGGTGGGCGGTGGGGGAGGGAGTGTGTATAGACTCTGACCCCCGGCTGGCACCAAAGGGTCAAGCTCCCTGCTCTGGGCCCCAAGGTGAGGGAGGTAGAGGAGGGGTACAGCTCTGCCCACCACAGTGGCTTTGTGACAGCCCAGCCCAGCCCAGCCCAGCCCAGCCCAGCCCGAGCGCAGGGAGCCAGGAGCAAACCAGGCACACAGCTCCCACAGCCCTAGCCTGAGATGCAGATGGCTGGGAAGTGCCCTGCCCCTGTGGCCTGAACCAGCCCCTCTGTTCCCACCCTCAGTAGCACCTGTGGGCCAGCCTGGCTCAGCCCCACAGCCCCAGCCCGAGCTCCAGGTGAGCAAGTGGATGGAGGGGCCATGCAAGGAAGAGGGGTTCCTCCCTCTGGCTGCTCCAGGGGCAGGGGTGGGGGCATGCCCAGATGCTGGCTGGCATGGCCCCCTGAAGCAAAGGGGCCAGGGAGGGAGTTTATTCTGCTCTCCCTCCCCTCCTTTCCCTTGGGGAAGCCCAGCCGGTGTCTGTCTGGCTGGGGCGTAGCAGCCCCTGTCAGGGGGTGCTCAGCTTGTGTGGGGGTGAGTGGTGGCGGTGATGGCCAGGGCTGGCAGACCTCAGCTGCGGTCCCCCTGTGGGAGAGGGGAGGGATGGGGGAAATATACTTCCTCCCTTCCTCCTTCACCTTAGGGGGCCGTACCAGCTGACATCTGGCCAGGCCCACACACTGCCACTGGAGCAGCCAGGTGAGGGGAGGACTATGACAGGGGCTGCTATGCCCTGGCCAGGTAGACCCGGGCTGGTATCCCCTGGGGTGGAGAGGGGAGAATAAATCACCTCCGTGCTCCCTTCACCTTAGGGAGCCATGCTGGCCAGCATCTGGCTATACATCCGCCCCTACTACTGGAGCAGTGAGAGGGGAGGGACCCTGACAGGGGCTGCTATACCCCGGCCAAGCAGACCCTGACTGGGGTCCCCTGCAGGGGTGGAGAGGGGGGAGAGAGGGAGGGCTGGCATCTGACCATGCTCCCACCCCTGCTCTGGCTAGAGAGCAGAGGGGTGGGGCCAGTCCTTCTCTCTGGAGCAGACAGCACAGCCTAGCCCAGGGCTGCAAAGCATGCTGGGATGCTGGGGGACTCTGGTTTAACTTAAACCAGGAAGGGGTCTGGGACAGAAATTCCATAAACTAGTTTGATCCAAATCAGGCTTATCTTAAACCAGTTTAAGATACTACATTCAATCTGATACTGCATTCAATCAGGTTTATCTTAAACCAGTTTTGGCCAATTTGAAACTGGTTTATGTTCACTGAACTTCTGTTCTGTTATGCGTTTAAACCAGTTTATGGTTAACGTCTGTCCCTAGCCCAGAGAAGTAATAGAGTTCTCGCTCCTGTCCATGCACATGCTCACCAGCCTAGGGGCAAGTCACAGTTGAGCAGGTCTGAGACAGCATTAAGGCTTAATCTGTGACTGCTCTGAAGCTGTTCTACCTTTATGATAGGATAACATTAATTTATGTTTTGTACCTCCCGAGGCTGTGGGGGCATAGCAACTGCCCACAGGCAGCGGTGGCAGTGTCAGCGGTGAGGGTGTGTCGGCGGCAAGCGGGGAGCTCCCACAGGCGGCCATGGCAGTGTTGGCAGTGGGGGGGGCGGGGGTGGCGAGTGCCCGTAGATGCTGTCGGCGGTGTCAGTAGTGAGGGGGAGGGGAGTGGCGAGTGGCGACCACCCATAAGTGCTGCTGGCAGCAGACAATCTCAGGGGGTGCATGTGCACCGATGTGCACCCCCTACATGTCACCAGTGATAACATCCCACAGATTAAAAATTTTATAGATTTCATAGACATTAGGGGCTGGAAGGGACCTCATGAGATCATCAGGCCCAGCGCCCCCCCGCTGTAGGCAGGAAATCATCTGGGATCAAGTGACTCCAGCAAGAAATATATCCACCTGTTTCTTGAAGGAGTCCAGAGAAGGTGCTTGCACCACCTCTTGGGGGAGTTTGTTCCAGACCCTGGACACACACACTGTAAAGATCCTTTTTCTTATATCCAGTCTAAATCGGCCTTCCTGCAGTTCATGGCCATTAGACCTTGTTATCCCTTGGGGAGAGCTGGTGAACAGGTGTTCTCCCAGGTGCTGATGTACCCCTCTTACATAGTTGTAGGCTGCCACCAATTCCCTCCTGAGCCTTCTCTTCTCTAGACTGAAGAGTCCCAAGTCCCTTAGCCTCTCCTCATACGGCCTTCCCTCCAGGCCTTGGATCACATGGGTGGCTCTCCTTCGGACTCTCTTAAGCTTCTCCACATCCTTCCTGAAGTGGGGGGCCCAATACTGGATGCAGTACTTCAGCTGCGGTCTCACCAGGGCCGAGTAAAGTGGGAGGATGACTTACCTGGTTTTGCTTGAGATTCATTGGTGGATGCATGGCAGAGTTTGGCTAGTTTTGCCAGCCGCAGCATCACATTGGTGGCTCATATTCAGTTTGTGGTCTGTCAAGATCCCAAGTCCCTTTTGGTCATGGTGCTAGCGAGCATAGCACTGCTGAGCCTGTAAGTATGCTGGGGGTTCTTCCTACTGAAGTGCAGCACTTTGCACTTTTCTGCTTTGAAGGCCATCAGGTTTTGTTCGGCTCACCTTGAGAGTGTGTCCAAGTCGGCCTGTATTCCCAGCCCATTCTGTGGTATGACCACCCTCTCCCATAATTTGGTATTGTGGAAGAAATCAAACTTTGCGTTGTGGTTGTATCAGAATTAACAGAGCCATCTTGGTTTATTTAGAGCTATACAAGTGATCACAAGGAGGGTTCTCAAAGGAACTCTGAATTCCATAAGTTTACAAGCGTATTTATAATTTAGACAGCAAGAAAAATGCATGGTTCAGACAGAGCTGCCTTGAAGAAACAGGAAGAAGTTGATCATTCGTTTGTCACACATAGGCAGTTTACTTTTTCAGCAAACACATTGTGTTTTGGGAACAGCTATCAGTTTCTGGTTCCTGGAAAGGAGGAGGTTACCATCTGCACACAGAGATTAATATATCAAGACAAAACAAGGCATGAAGGTTTTTCCTTATCTTAGAACATTTTAAAATGCATAGCATCAGCATCTTTTTCTCTTCTCTTTCTCTCTCTTTGTCTCTCCTCTTAGTCAAGTAAGAGACCTGGTTAAACTTATTTCCACATTATCATCTGCAAACTTGGCCAGTTCACATCTGACCCGGATCCAGATCATCGATGAAAATGTTAAAGAGTACTGGCCCGAGTACCGAGCCCTGAGGGACTCCACTGGTAACCTTGCGCCACGTTGATTTACTCCCTTCAACTAGTACACTTTGGGTCTGACCCCGTAGCCAATTGTCTAGCCAATGAACTGTATGTTGATCAAGGCCACAGTTCCCCAGCCTAACCATGAGGACATAATGGGGAACTAGGTCAAAGGCCTTCTTGAAGTCCAGATAAATGATGTCAACATCATCTACCTTGTCCAGGGCACATGTTACCTGGTCATAGAAGGAGATGAGGTTGGTCAGACAAGACCTGCCAGTCACATGTTGGCTGGCATTCAGAAGCTTACCTTCGGTTAGTCTGGTGTTGATGGATCCCTTGACAATTTTGTCCAGGATTTTTCCAGGGACGCAGGTCAGACTTATTGGTCTATAGTTCCCTGGGTCATCCTCCTCCCTTTCTTGTAGATAGGGACCACGTTGGCTCTTTTCCTGTCATCCAGGACCTCGCCCGAGTACCACAATTTTTCAAATATCTCTGCCAAGGGGGATGCAATGATGTCTGCCAGCTCCTTCAAGACTCTTGGGTACATTCTATCTGGGCCTGCGGATTTATAAATGTCCAGTTCCCCAAGGTGTTCCCTCACCCAGTCCACATTGATTTTGGGCCCGTCACCCACTTCTGAATTGGTTTGTGCCATCCCTGGCAGTGTGATCCTCCTGGGAGGGTGAAAAACCGACATGAAAAAGTTATTTAGGAGATTGGCCCTCGGGCATCTGATGTCAGTTGCACCATTGGATCTCTCAGGGGCCCAATGCTATCCTTGTTCTTTTTTCTACTTCCCACGTATCTGAAGAAGGACTTTTGTTGTCCTTGATCCCTGTGGCTAGCCTAAGTTTAGTTTGTGCCTTGGCTTTTCTTGACCACTCTCTGCAGGTGCGGGCAAGTGCAGAGTAATCCTCTTTGGTAATGCTTCCTGTTTTCCAGCTGGTGTAAGCTACTCTTTTGAGCTTAATGAGGCCCAAGAGCTCCTTATTCAGCCATGGGGGCTTCCTCACCCATTGACTGCATGTCATGCGAGATGGTATGGCTTTGATCTGTGCTTCAAGGATTATGTTTTTGAGAGATGAGCATTCCTCATGTACTCCCCTTTCTGGGTGGGTATGACCTCTGATTGTCTGACTGACCAATTCTCTCTGTTTGCAGAAGTCATCCTTCCCAAAGTTAAAAGACTTCGGTTTTACTGAGGGGTTTGCCTGCTCTTCAGTGAACTAAGAAGGTGACCAATTCATGATCACTGTCACTAAGCTTCCCCTCAATCCCCAGATCGCTCACCAGGTCCTCCCCTTTGGCCAGGGTTTTAAAGGTAACCTGTAACAGCACCCTGTAATTTAAAAACAGGAGCGCTACAAGGAAACCAAAGTAACTTGAAAGGAACAAGAACATCAAGATAAAACAGAAATCCCCTAGACACCTGGTCCTAGGTTTCTTTGGTAACATTGTAATTACTAACTAAGGGAACTGCGTTCCAACTTATCAGATCATTGAGAAACATTATTTGTGCACATGGACACACTAAAAGGCTACGACTATGAGCACAATACTGGAACCTTCTGAATACAAGTTAATCAATATAGTGAATCTGACCACAGCACCGATCTTAAACAATCAAAAAAAGAGGACTCTAGTAACTAAAGATTTTCTGCCACCACGAGCAGACTTGTATCTGTTCTGCATCATTTCCGTTTTCCAGCAAAAAAACCCTTTTCCAGCTTCTTAGAGCAACAAGATTAGAGCAGACTGATTTCTAGCAGAGGCCATCAAAAGATGGGATTTATCTGCATGGCTGGCAGAATACAGGATCTACAATTTGTAACAGAGGCTTGACCCTGCTTCTCCTCCTGTGAACATACGCTAGCACAGAATCTTCTACAGGCCTTAACCTTCTAGGATTTGGCATTACTACTAATGGCCACATATCCTCCTTATCTGTTGCGGTGACGCTCCAGAGAAAATTGTATTTCTCCTTGCTGGAATCCCAGAACAAAGCTTGGATAATTCAGTATTCTGTTTTGTCCTTCAAAAGTAAATGTTGCAATGGAGCCTTCTCTCTGCTAGATGAAATGAACAGCTTTGCTGCTGTGTCTGCTCCTTTGCCCTTCCCTCTGCTTTTAACACAACATTCAGCAGACAGTCAAAGGGTTCACATAGAGTGTCAAAAAGTTCAAGGGACCATATTGACTGATGCAGGTGGGTGGCAAAGGAGCCATTACACTAACGTCATGTCATAAGAAGATTTCTTTTCAAAGCTTAGCTTATTGTGGTTTTCGATTGTTTTGCTCTGATGATACAGGACACTGTGGCCTGTATATACAAAGAAATGCAGACTGACTTTTAATAATGTTTGCTTTTGCTGACTACAGGGAGTTCTACGTGACATACTGACACTGTGAGTAAAAACAGACATCAAGATTATTCTGGGTCTGATTGTCCAGGCTTTGAGGGCCTTGATACATGGTAATTTTAGGTCACTTCTGGAGCTCTTAACCCCTGGACTGACTGCACATTAACACTTTATAAGTGTCTTAAAAGACTCATTATTTGTCTTAAAGTTATTTGTCTTAAAGTAGGATTATCTCTAATCTACCTAATTTTGCTCCTATTCTATTAAATTGTGGCCACTTCCCATAGCTATTACGCCCAAGCTGAGGTCCTCCAGCATCCCAGTATGCAGTGGGTGAGTGGCGATGCCAGACTGCACTGGGGCCAGGTATGGTGCCTCACCTATTGGGGATGTTGGGCAGAGCGTACCCCTGGAGCACCTGGCAGCTGCTTTTGCTGACTTCAAGGAGTTCTATGTGACATACTGACACTGTGAGTAAAAACAGACATCAAGATTATCTTGGGTTTGATTGTCCCAGGTTTTGAAGGCCTTGGTACATGGTAATTTTAGGTGGTTTCTGGAGCTTTTCCCCTCTGGACTGGCTGCACATTAACACCTTTTAAGAGGCTTGAAGGACACATTATTTGTCTTCAAGTTATTTTTGCTCACTTCTGAGCCACTGCTTTCTAGGGCACTTATATAACTGTACATAGGAGAGGATATATTACCCAAAAATGAGCCATAATGTTCACATCCATTGTTCTTTCAATGTCCAAGTCCTGAGTATCAATGAAGTACTTTCTACTAGCAACAGCTGCATCATTGACTAGGATAGTAACATCACCAACTTCTTGTCTAACCTACAGGAAGAAGAAAAAAAAAAAAGAAACTATGCAACACATATTTATGCAACACATTCTTTCTGCTTACAAAAATGGGAGTTCATCTATGCATCATGTGAAGTGTTACATTGACTATAACTGTGGCAGTAGCTACATCCTATCCAAACACAGAAAACAAAAGTCTCTGCCCAGAAGACTTTTCACTCTGAGAAGATTAGTCTCAGACTTTTCACATGTTTGCAATTACTAGGACCACCAAGAAGCTAAGTGAGCTGAAAATATACATGTAACCCTCTGCTGGTACACTAAGGCTGGGTGGTGTGCTGGAATTTGGGTCCTCAGGGTGCTAATAGCCCCGGGAACCCCTCAGGCAGACACTAAAGTGTCCTGTTGAGAGGTGTGTCCCTCACCCTCACCACCCAGGAAGTCACTCTGAACTCGATGAATACATTACTTTTTATTATATACAACCAATTTAAATAACAGAAAATAAATTAAAAATATAATAACAAGAGTTGATAACAAAACTAACAATTTGGATAAAATTTGCAGCTAAAAATTAGGTGGATAATTCCAGCACACTGGGTGGTCCCACTGGTGTTAAACAACCTAAATAACTAAATACACCTCGTTATAACCCTTTAAAACAGTTTCCTCATAACCTAATTCATAGAATCATCATATCATAGAATCATAGAAGTAGGGTCGGAAGGGACCTTGTAGATCTTCAAGTCTGACCCCCTGCCTGGGCAGGAGGGAAACTGGGCTCAAGTGACCCCAGCCAGGTAGGCATCGAGGCACTTCTTAAAGACCCCCAGGGTAGGAGCCAGCACCACTTCCCTTGGAAGTTGGTTCCAGATCCTAGCCGCCCTAACTGTGAAGTAGTTCCTACAGATGTCTAATCTAAACCTACTCTCCAACAACTTGTGGCCGTTATTCCTTGTTATCCCGGGGGGCGCTAGGGGAAACAAGTCTCCCCCAAACCCTTCTGGTCCCCCCTAGTGAGCTTATAGACAGTCACAAGGTCCCCCCTCAGCCTTCTCTTGTGAAGGCTGAACAGGTTCAGGTCCCGTAGCCTCTAATTGTAGGGTCTGCCCTGCTGTCCCCGGATCATGCGGGTGGCCCTCCTCTGGACCCTCTCAATGTTGTCCACATCCCTCTTGAAGTGGGGTGCCCAGAACTGGACACAGTACTCCAGCTG